ATTCGTCACCATAGATAAATATTTAAACAGTTCATAAGCAGAAGGATTTCTAAAATTAACTATAAGTCTAATAGGACAAAATTATATATATATATATATTTTCAGGTGTCGCCTTCTCTGAGATGTATTTCTGCGACGGAGTCATTTTCTCTACATTTATGTCACAAAATCTCAGCCTTATCATACAGATACAGGTAGCTTAATCTCTCTAAAATTACAATCAAGCAATATTTGAAATTGAAAGTACTTTGAATGGACACTAGGTAGTAACTTATGTCATCATTCAAGTCCTTCATTTAGTTCAGGCTAAATTTAATCACTCAGGTTAGCACTGTAACAAACATGCTAGGTGGTTCGCCATTACATTGCGCTCTGAAATGTTGCCAGATGACTGGAAGCAATCACCCCTGACCTAGGTTTTGTACATGTTCGGCACTCATCAGCATAGCGTATCTGGAATCTTCGAGGGACCCATGTCTGTTCCGGGATTCGGACAATGGTCATCCAGTACTGAGGTCAGTTTCCAATACACACTTGAGACGTGTAATATCTCCGTGTTCAAATATATGAAAAGAAGATGAAATAAGGTCTCATAGCTAACTAATGATGGAATGTAAGTTATTACATTAGCGGCGGGGTAGTTTTACTTCTGAACTTTCCACTTCAAAATCACTCACTGTGTTATTCTACAAGTGTTGAAGTGAATCGCCGACCATTGTCAAATTGACAGTGGATAGAATACGTTAGTAAATATTATGGTATTGTCACGGATAAGTTGCAATATCACATTAACAGCTTCAGTTATCAGAAGACTAGTTTCTCTACGATAGAAAATTAGGATTCAGGAAACATATCTGAAAAGAACAAAACGGCTGTTACGCTTTAAAGGACTTTTATTGCGGATCTAACCATTGGAGAGATGTTTACCTTGCTAAGATTATAATTTCGACTAAACTAACTGAGGTTAAGTGCACAGGTTTCTGTTAAAACGAAAACAAATGTGTGTTGTTTAGAAATGAAAATTACTTTTCCATGTTTTAATTCATATATTGACGCGGTATTTACCAAGTTGAGTATGGTACTCATTTTCTAATGTAGAAGCAATGTCTACGAGGTATCTTAAAATATTACTTCAACGAATGATGGAATGTGACTAGCTGGTTAACACTGCCTGTTAAGAATCAATTCATGAATAATCCTCATCCAAAAGTCAATGAAAACAAAGTATCTAGTTATGTGCACAATCGCGTATACATTTAATTTTTCGATAGAGAAAGAAAGACCAGATTTGCAGTATAAAATGATATCATTCTATTTCACAGGTTCTCATCAGCTGCAAACTACCTGAAATTACAATGGTTATAATTAATAACATTTCATACTTCATTGTTTGAAAGGTAATACAGAAAGCATTATAAGATAAAGGCATCCGGAATATAAGGAATAAAATTTTTTGTAGCTTAAGTTACCATCAGTTTATATAGTATCAAACTATGGAAAAAGGAAGAGAAAGGGGGGGGGTGAGAGAAGACATAAAACAAAAAAATCTAATAAACAGTGTCAACATGGCAACTCAACAAGGTCAAAGTTCACCAATTTGAAAACTTGCTTAGTGAGTTGAACTCACTAGTGTCTATGAGTAATCAGTGTAATGAAAGTGATATGGTTACCAAGGGAGTGAGAGATTGACTACACTCTCTTTCTGTGTGCATAAGTTTGGTCTGAGATGTTTGATTGCAATTGCTTCAGCAAATCGTAGTAGATTCGCTGTCCTTTGCATGTTTAATATTCTGAAGGATTTGGAAATCTCAACAGAATGGCCTGTATCCACAAGGTGTCTGGTAATTGCACTTTGTAAATATCTGCTTCCTTTTAAGCATAAGTTTCTCGAAATATGCTCTGAAAACCGGATAGAAGCCCTTCCTTCAGTCCTTCCGATGTACTTGCTGCCGCAGGTGCACGTAAATTTATAAATGCAGTTGGAGGTAACATCAGCAGGGTACTTATCCAGTTTCGATTGGCTTATAGAGCATGTAGTACTTACTGTATAGTGTCACTAGATTGGCTGCAGAGAAGCATCTCTTGATTGCTCCTTTCATCCTTTTTTCAATCTTTTGAGATACTGTATCTCCTTTGTATGGGAGGCAAATGAATACTTTCTTCTTTTCAACTGTTAGGTACTTCTCTTTCTCATCTCTTTCTTTGCTGTACTTTAGGATAAATCCTTTTGGATACCCGTTCTTCTTAAGGCATTTTTCATGAAGCAGTTGGTAAAAAAATTATAAGCTTTTATATTCGTAGTAGTTAATATTAGTCAGTGCATAAAAAGAATTTCAAAAGTTCAGAGAAACGAAACGCTTCTTGTTCCGAAAAAGAAACTGTACACGAACCTGGATTTCAGGGAAAATTTAACCTCAATTCAGTAGAAATCAACACGGTTGTTGCCGTGATTGTAGAGGTGATTGAATGATTCTTTTTCGTGTCCATAACTCTGGTGGACCGAATGAAAACTAATAGGTATCCTCTGAAAACTGAAAAATGAATCATCAATCAACACCAAAATGTTTGAATCCATGTGACCATCTGGCTCAAATATACCCCAACTCTATGGACTGTCGAAAGTTCACAAGAAAGGCACACACAGTTCTTCGATCCACTCTCGACATGACAAATTCACCTAATCATCTCAATCCGCAATGGTTAGTAGATCTATTTGAAGCAGCAAGAAAGCACGTATCCTACCACTCACTCAGAGATTCCATTGAAAACGTCACGATCTCCAATCAAATCATGCTTTTAGAAAAAACCAACGTTTCGCTTGGTCTACGAGTAGGACTTTTACATACAGCAGAGGCAGTCTGAATTCCTTCGAGCAATTCATCTGAACTTAAACAAGTTAACATCACAGAAGGATCACAGATGGATCTCTAAAGCTTACTAGTATGGTCACACCAAGATCATATGGCCTATCAAAAGTGCATAAAATTGGTTTGCCACTTCTACCAGTACTGGATATGTGCAGTTCCCTCATATCATGTAACAGCGAAATGGTTGGCGAAGCACCTGATACCTCTGCATAACGAGTTGGTGAAACATAATGTAAAAGATAGTTTTGAATTTGTCGAGAAAATAAAAGATCTTAATGTTAATGAAAAGTTTATGATATCTTTTGATGTGTCCTCCTTGTTCACAAATGTACTGTTGATGGAGACAGGGGATTTTATATGTGATGAGATTACTAAACGAAAGATAGACATCGCCATTTCTGTAACCTCCTTGAAGGAACTTATTTTAAGATGTGCAATGAATGTTCACTTCTTATTCCACAAAGAATACCACAGACAAACTGATGGTGTGGCTGTGGGTTTCCCAGTAGGTTCATTCCTAATTTACTCTTCCCTCGCTAGGTTGGAAAATGAACCACTGAAATGAGTAATTGAGGAGTTGGAATTCTACTGTCTATGTATGGATGATACATTTCTGGTTACGAAAAACGAGAATGATGCAATGAACATCCTTGACACGTTTAATGATGCCGATTCAGCAATAAACTTCACCATAGAGAATAAGAGTAATGACAGTATCTCATTCCTAGACATCTTCCTGGCACACTAAGAAGGAATGTTTGAGTCACTGTCTGTGTCAATGCCATTTGGCGCATATGTAGTCCTGATACCGTGGAGGAAGAGTTAAATCTTTTAAGAAAAATCCTAATAGAAAATGGATTTCCGCCATGTTATATTGACAAGAATATACAATTAAAACCTATGAAATGTGACTAATCACATGAGCTTGGAGTTCAAAGGTGACTGAGCAGCCGGTATGATTGAGAGAAAGATATCACAATCCTTTAAAAGGCATTCCCTACTGCATCGTTGAGAACAGTGTTTTCAATTCTATCATTACTCTTCAACAACCTGAAGGACAAGATCCCGCAGTTGAGAAACTCGATGTGTGTATATCAATTCACCTGCTTGTGTGAAGCTCAGTATATCGGTCGTTCGAACTGAGTCTTGTCCAAGAGGGTGCAAGAACACTATCCTGCATGGTTAAGAAAAGGTTGAAATGAAGCAATAGGAAGCGCGATCATTGAACATCTCGTCGATAATGATCATCCTATCTTCACAGCCTCCGCCTTTAAGGCCATCTACAAGGCGAAAAGTAATTTGCTCATCTGTGTTGCTGGAGCTTTGGCTATCCATGCAGAAAAGCCAGATCTCTGTATACAGGAAAAGTTCGTTCAACCTCTCCAAATTTCATAGTCTTAATCTCTCTATGCCAAAGTACAATAATCCCTAACCATATTTTGGCTCTACTTATTTTTTCGTCTTGTGTATTCACTTTGTATGCTCTTCCTTTATTGCATAAGTTGTTACTATTACTATTCTCATTTTGAACTGTTCCCGGTATTATTTCACTCGTTCCACTGGCCAATCTAAATCAATTTTGTTTTGCAATGTCAAATTCTATTATCAAATTTCACATCCTTCCCAATTCCTATACATCCTATGAATTGTTCTATATATATGAGACTGCTTGTTTTGTCTAATCACACTGATTTATCATTGTAATCACAAACATTTTAATTGCATTTCATACAACTATTATTATTTCATGTATTCACATCGATCATTCAATTTCCTCATCGGATATAATTTCTTAAAAAAAACCCACATATATACGATTGTACAGCTTGATAATAAATTTGTTGAAAAGAGTCTCTTCGCTGAATCACTTGTTTTGCTTTTTCTATTTCCTTTAATCCCGATTGATGTTTCTTTAGGTTCTGACCTGGCTAACAGTTGTCTCTCTGAAAAGAATAGAAATTAGTTAATTCAGTCTAGAGGGAAATTACTTCAATTTTCCCAAATCTAGAAACACGATTAATTTCTGATGTAAAATCGCTACAGATACATTTAACTGGAATCCTCTATGCTATCCTTATCCTTCTTAGTTTAGACCAAATTACTAATAAGTTTTAGAAATTATTCACAGAGACTTTATGCATCAGATTTATTTAAGCATCTTGAACAAAGCAAAATAAATACAATAATATTCATATAGTCGTGATCACCGCATCCATAGAGCATCTCCAGTCGCCTAAATATATATGTGAAAGAGGAAAAACAGTCAGAACTTTATTAGTGATGAGGAAAATAATTACGATGAAAATTTTTCATTAGTTGATTCAATTCAATATTTGGAATCTAAAAACAAAGATGACATTTCTGTAACCAGTATATGTGAATAACATAGATCAATAAGATGGATCTCCGATTATGTGAGAACTGATATGGCATTTTCTCTTTATTTATTATTATTTTCACCAACTAAAAATATCCTGCATTATAGTGTTAAAAGGATATTCGACTTACTAGGCAAAATCCTCAGCGCATACTTCAATTTCTGCACAAATTTGTTAGACATCCCTCCTGGTAACCTTGGACGTTATTGGTTGTATTTGTGTGTTTTCTCTCCCTCTGATCTACTTTTATTGGTATTAGTTGTTTTCCTGACCTAAAGTTCAACCTTTTGTTCATATATTTTTCTTCTTATGGCCTGGTGAATCTTATGTATGTCAGTGTGTCTACTGATTGCCGTTTCATTTGAAAACCAGGCTTCTAGAAATTCTCTGGTCTTTTCAGTGTTTCCTCTGTCTAAGATTTTAACATTATCCCAGTCGAATTGGTGTCCGTGGTTGTCTGCATGAATTGATATGAAGGAGTGTAAATCGTGTCTTTTGGCGGCTAGTTTATGTTCATGGCTGTAAAGACGAAGAGGTTGTCTATTTTGACCAATGAGATTTATCTTGTAGATGATATTGGTTTCGTCTGCTTTCGCGCATATATACATACAGATATAATAAGTGAAGATACATTAAGGACAACAAGTCTTGGACATGAAATCCAAGGTACCAAAGATTTATCTTATATAACAAACTGATTTGAGAACATTTTTTGAATTCACTCGGGCATGTAGGTGGATGAAAATCAAATCTGTTCGATAGAATGCTAGAAGATTGCATGTCTCATGGACTGCACCATCAACACTATTTTAAGATTTATATATTTCCTATTCTCCAGTTTATAAAATTGTTTGTTTCATTTGAACGCCACTCAACTAACTTCCAGTTGGCCATTTTATAAAGACAGATTTTCTCTGGTTACGCAACCTATCGTGTTGATGCCCTCTTTCTAGTTAAACCTTATTTCTATCCGAAAAGATTTGAAGTCTCTGTTTTCTCAACAACATCAGTTCAGTTATCATATGAGTAGTCTATTCGTTTAACTCCTAATAATTTAACAACTAACATCATTGTGGACCTGTATTACTTTTAGATCACATCAATTACTCTTTGTCATCGTGTATGTTGAAATTTTTTATGTGAATTATATTTGTGTGTTGTTGGTGTTGTATAGCCAGCCAGCTGATGATAAACTGTGAAATGATGAAGCGTGAGTTTAAGTTGCATTGATGCAATTTTCGTTCTTTGTTCGAGTTCACTGCTGGAACTATTTTTATGAAGTTTTTTGAAAATACTACTCACCAAATATACTAAGCAGTCTGGTGTGCAATCTGTAGCACACGCAGTTCAACATATGACAGTCTGTGTTTGTGTGGGAAATTCTTGCGTTATCATTTAAAAAGGATGTCTTTTCGTCCCATGTATCGATGAATATAAGTTCATGTTTTATTCGTGGTCTAATATAGATTCTAATAGTTATGCTTTGAATAGTCTTTTCTTTTTGAAATTATGTAAATATAGTGAAATTTTCACTGTTTGTTTTCAGTGATTGAAGTTACTATCTTAATTATGAATTATTGAGACTCCTCATTTGAGGAATGAGGACACATTAAGGCTGAGTAGTCATAAATCTATAAGGCATTCCTTATGGATAAGATTTTATTTCGACAAATCACACAGTGCTATTGCAATAGTTTATGCTTGAGACGTCATCAGTTAATATTACTGTATAACATTGTGTGATTTATTAAAATAAAATCTAATCTATAATCGAGTTATACTCTAACACAGTGTGCAAGTTTTATACTTATTCCTTACTCTGGTTTGGTTGACGTCTCTACGAATATACATGCCGTATAATCAGATACAAATTACTCCTGATTTTCATCACTGTTGTCACACTTAATTCATTTGATAAGAGGTTCAGAACTTCAGTAATTCAAGTGTAATACGTCAGAAATGGTCTTGCACATTTGAAGTTATATTTTGGAATAAAAGAGTGTTCATTATTTGTCTAACCAATTAACTACCCATACTTTCCAGTTGGATGTCATGAAAAACCTTAATCAATTAGGAGCGACTGATATATTTTTCGTCCAACTTCTTGGCCCTCACTCACAACCCTATAAAGGTATCTAACCTATGACTATAGTTCACTAGTCAGTGCAGTTAACCATCTAGTCACTGGTTAGAAATTTAATCATCGTTGAATTCTAACTACTTTCAGTTCAGGCGATATAGAGCTACCATCATCCGATGCCGTCAGTGAATAACCAACCTAACATCTAACACAGTGGGTCCTACTGATAACGGCTTAGTAACTGAACTTCCACAAGTTCATCCTATATTCATTCACTGAAAAACAATGCTGAGTGTTTAATAGCCTCACCGCATACCTAAAAGTCTCGGATATATCCCTGGTTTTCTGTCTCAGCAGATGAAGATTCCAAAACTTCAGTGGAATATTTATCCACTTCTCCTTGGTTTTCAGTTGTTCTACAAATAATGTCAGTTTGTAATGAAATCTACCCAGAAATCAGTGGAATTTCTACAACGCAAAACTCTCATTTTCATATTTCCAGGAGTAATACTTTAAGCATACAGGCAAAATAAATAAGAAAGGACACTACTATGGGAACCAATAAGTAATTTGAAAATAATCTTTGTTAAACCTAAACGCACCTTCGATTCAGTAGTTTGCCGCAATTAGTCTAAAAGGAGAAGAAATTAATCAGCCAAGTTAAAATGTGTCAGAACAATGTAACAAATAAGAAAATGGAGCCATTTACCTAGAGTTCCTCATTAGGCTGGTAATCTCCTGCCTTTGACTTGTCTCATCACATAATAGGTGTGCTGAATAAGGTATTGTAGACTTTTGTACTTAGTCGTCCGAGCGTATAGTCTTCCATAGTTGCTTTTAGTTCCTCTTGATGCAATACAACGAGAGATTCGTGTATAGATAGGATGCTCAGAGTCTGACAAGATAATACTTGGTAATTTCTTGCCGGAGTCTATGTGTCTTTCTACAGTAGTATTAACGAGTTGGTTAAGCGACACTCTGCAGGCCATGCTGAGGGTTTTTAGTGCCCTTCGCAACATAACAGAGTCTTTCTTAAGTAGCCCGGGAAAGAATAAGGGGGAGCAGTAAAGAAGTATTGGCATAATACAAGAATTAACAAACGGTAACAGTAGAAACGGTATGATATCAGACTGTCTTAACTCCCCAATGTGTGACGTTAAATGGAATGTCCATTTGGAAACTAACATGATGTCGGAAGACCAGCAGAGATCAGAGGAAATGCACAGTTCAAGGTATTTAACATTCAGTTTAGTTTCAATCTCTGTGTCACCTATGATAGTGGAACCATGTGAACTGGCCAGTTCATGTAAATCGTGCTTCCATCTGAAATTAACATTAGCAACCCGACTTTTGAAGAGATTTAGCCTAAGACCATTTGATGAGAACCATTGACTAATTTTTAATGAAACGTATTTCATTTTAGAACAGTCTGACTGACAAGTAACAGTCATAGAACCAGTCAGATCATCGGTGTATGTAACAAAATAGCCTTCAGTAGAATGAGGAAAGTCATTTAAGAAGAAAGAGAACAGAAAAGGAGAAAGGACAGCTCATTGAGGAACACCAATTAGAGTAAGTGAAGCAGTAGAGGACTTCCCATTGTAAACAGTGTGCTGTTTCCAATCATAAAAACAGACATGCAACCACTTATTATTCCAAAACTCTACTCTTGTCACATCGAGCTTGATAACAAAAGGCAGATGTGTAATTTAGGAAGGCACACCGAACATACCTTGCCCTTCTGTATAAACCGGAGAAAATATCATGATATGAGATGACAGTGGCACCTAAAGTACACCTACTGCGTTTATAAGCAAATTGATTATGATCTTTAAAAGCCTTCAATGAAGATGCAAGGTTAATAAAAGCAGTTCTTCCACTATTTTAAATAAAGGCTAAGTAATGCCAGCAGGTTTAAACTTAACACTTGGTCCACTTGATGATTTAGGTTCAGAAACAGTGTTAATGTCCTGTCAAGAAGCAGGCACAATGCTAGTGGAAAACGATTCCTTGAAAATACCATTGAGAGGATAACATTAGATGTCAGTACATTTCTTAACGATTATAGCAAGCCCACTATTTGGACCAATGAAATAAGTATATTTCAAGGATTTGAAACACTTCAGGACAACGTTTGTGTTAAAATCTATCCACCATAATATGGAACAAATAATCATGTAAATACTTACAGTGACAATTCTCAAATAAAAAGTAAGTCGAGATGAAAATGACAATTTAATAAAATTTCTGACCAAAATCTTTGAAGACTTTATTATTACTATATAACGGAATAATCTTATTTTGCCCAATGGGATCTATATTAAGGGATTTCGCCAGTTTACCGTTTTTAGTAACTTTACATTACATACAAAGGAACTTTATTTGATAGGTCTGTGTAGATTCTGTTTACTGAGTTCCCACATCGTCTGGCATGATTATCAAAAGGACAATGTAGAGATAGTTACCAGCTTGATTCTCAAGCACCTGGTGAATTCAGGCCATGAAGCTCCAATAGAGTAGTGTTTTCGGATTATCTAAAAGGTGAGGTCTGATCATACAAGAGGTGCTAAGTTTTGGTATTCGTATATAGTGGAGGCTGTGGCGTCTCCTTAATATAACCAAGATTGTGTACAGACAAAGTTGGCTGAGTATCTCATTCTGTTGTGGTCTTGATCTTTTCCCTGATTGTTTGCCTTTATTTTTAGTAATTACTTCACTAGTGTCACTCTTACATGTTCCTTTTATACATTTTATCACCTTCATACACTTTAGGTGGACGCTCAACTATCTTACATCTCATTCATTGTTTAATCTAACCTTATTAAATTTGAAACAGGTCACTTTCTTTATTCATTCGGGCAGCAACGTTTCAACTAAAGATGAATGCACGGCTACCGTAGACTTTCATCAAAATCCGTCTTCACTGGCCGTATGCTAAATAATAAGTAGTCAGCCAGAAAGAATTAACGACAACAAAACCTGGGAGCGAACGAATCAAGAACCTACTGCCCAACAGATATTCCGAAGAAAAGTGGAGATGGATCGGACACGAGCTGAGTGACACTACACACCAAGCCATAGCTTTATTAGAACCCGAATAGTAAAATATGAGCTGGGTTCGATTTTGAGGCTGACATACAGAAGATCGTTTGAGGAGGAGACGAAAGCTTCTAGGCAGTTTCGGGGTCATCTAGACAGAACTACAGAGAACGGGACAAAATGAAAATGTGCTGTTGAAGCTTTATGTTACACTGAGAATCCAAAAGAATAATAATAAGTTAACTTCTAACCAATGGTAGTTCGCATGCTTAATTCAAACAAAGTTGCAATCATCTATATCCTAAACATTTGAAATCATCGAATAACTCACCACGATACACGTAACTAACATTGAGAAAAGACAAAGTTTAACAAATGCATGCTAAAGAAACTAACACATGACATCTGATACACAGTAAGAGTCATTAAAAAAATAAAACTGTATATCTGCTTTATGGTGCATGATTATTGAACACTTCTACAAGCCAGCTGGTATATTCACCAGTTGTTTTTCGCTTCCACTTCAAGTATTCCTGAAGTCATATCAACCTTGATATGATTATTAGCAATAAATTGTGCTCGAAGCGTCATCAGCAAACATTAGGGTATAACACTGTGAGACTTTATCAAAACAAATTTTACCCATAATAGTTGTGAGCTTGATGTCATGGGTAAGAAAGCAGTTACACAGATGAGAAATATGCGGATAACAGATATAACAATAAATAGTGATATCAGGTATCACTATTCCTTGAGTTACATTTTCTTGTGTGAGACACCATAACACATTAGGGTATGGTGATTTTCTGAAATTAGTTATTTCAAGTTTCATCTCAGGCTGATATCAGTTAGAGATCCATTCAAAACGAGGGAGTACTGGACAGCTTTTTCGTCCTACTTTAAGACTCACAGGAAGTGTGCACCCATCGACGTTCCATCCAATATGAAGTAAATTGAATCCGTACACACTAACTTTTGAAAATTATGCTGATGCTCACTACTGCCTAGTTACATGAAGAAGTTGTCTGGAGCATTAGTGAGAAGCCGTGACCACTGGGTCCCACTATACCTAGTCTGAGGACAAATGCTCGTCGATGACATTGTCCGGTGGTCGCGCTAAAATTAAGAATTGATAGAAGTTGGAATTCATACTCAGGCCATTAGATCAGGTCCCGATAGCTGGTCGGTCTACTAGCTAATCTTGTTGATGGAAGGTCCTGGATTTAGACTTCAGTGGGTAGGCACTGTGGAAGAGTCTTAAACTAGAAGGAAGAACTGTTCAGCACTCTATGGCTTTTTATGGTTCCCTAATCGATATCAGTACACGATCCAACTTGAAATAAATCCGACCCCTTCAAACTAACCCCTGAATATTAGTTACTAAGAGATAGAAATTGATAACAGAATATAAGAAATTATCTGCTGCATTCAGGATTCTAGTATTATATGACTGCTATTAAACTAGGGTTAACTCTTCCTGTAACCATACTTTTGGCTTCTCATGACAGTTTATTTTACTGATATTTTAAAAACAAAATTTGTAGTTATGGAACAAGAGAATGAAGTACGAAGCCTACTGTTTAAATATGGCTGGTAAAATCTTTTCAATACAGGGAACAATCAGACAATCAGAATGATAAACTCCTTAATGTAATAAATTCAAGATATATCAAACTTACTAAAATGCTTTTATGTAGATCCTGTGTAATATAAATGAACCATTGGTATTAAGGATGTTTTAACAGCTATCTAGCAAGCAGTGGCTTTTTCAGAAGCCTGTGCATAGATTTCACCCTATTCACCGCTTTCTATTGTAATGGCTTAGATGACGTTGAATATTTGTAAGGCGAAAACCGCAAGAATAACATATATGCATACAAGATGAACTTACTAATTCATAAAACTATATACTATTGACTGATTGACTTCAGTAGTTGTATACCATTCACATCAACCAGGAGTGCTTGCTCGCCAGCTAGACCATAGTGATCTAAACACCAGACGGTTGTTCCACTCGTATGAAGTCGAGTTCACTGGTGGTGTATCTGATCTAATTCCGCTCAGAGAGCTGAATCAGTTTATCGCTAGCAAGTGCTAATACTTGATGTAAGAGCTATACAACGACTCATCTCAGTCAGTCTGTGGTATATTGTCTTAAACATTTATTCATGGGTCTCTTGATTACCATTTATGGTATCAAGCAGAGAACTTATCTGAATAATTTTCGTTTTCAATGATACTATGGTGAATCCTCTCCTCCTCAAACTGTGAAAACTGCAAATTTAATCTTTGGCTTTACAAATTATCTAGTTAGAAATAAAACTTGTCAGTGTAATTCAAAGCTACTAAGAGGCTTAAAAGTTTACCTAACCAGTATTTTATTGTGAATTTATTTCAAGTGAACTGAAAGCTGTACAGGTATGATCACGAGTAAGCGTCAAGTACCCAGGACAGCGTAAACTCTTTAGTATCGACTACTCAAGAATTATATGATTTCATACACTTACTTTTAAAATAAAACAAATATAGTAGAATGAATTTTCAATACATTTTATTCAGGTGTTCCAGATCCCATATAAATACCGACCAAATTCAAGACCTGTGTACACAGTGTCAGTTTCAGATGTTACTATCAGTGCGACTATTTGGATTCAATTCGTGATTTAAATAATCAGTTCATAGAACATGAAAGCAAAACAACCTGAAAATTGTGGGTAAAGACATTATAGATGGTTTTGAATCAATCGAATGATAGCAGTGTATTGAATAACGCTTTAAAAGGTAGGATTTGCGTCACCAGATAACCCCGAGATTCTTGTTTGTTGTTAATTTGAAAATGAAGGATATTTAGAGCACAATGGCTGGAGTAAATTTAATATTGGTTTTCATTTTTTGAGTTATTGAACACTCTACCCTTCTAGAAGTAAGAGAAAGGACTGGAAAATAGTCTTCTAGTAGACTATTTAATATGATGCGATTAGTAATATGAAGCTACGAATAACATTGGTCTCACGCAAAGCGTTTAAACCCCCTGTGATTTATTGTTAAAAGCAGATCCAGGACATTGAGCGCCTTTCGAAAAGTCCTTCAAAGTAATATACAAGATCCAATCAAACCTATCAAAGGGAGTGAAATCAAAACATTTGGGCATCAAAAAACTCAAACCCACTCTTTGTATCCAAAAGAAATATGTCCAACCCCTGTCCCTGCCATGGCCATCATAAACAGGTAAAATTTTTTAATAATGACTATCCAATCGCCTTCCTTATCTAAACTTCCCGTTTATTCATGTTATTTTAAGTTTTCTTAATCCGTGTCTACACTACCATATGTTCATATCCACACTTCCTGTTTATTTAGTCATTTTACTATTTCTACATATTTAATCCCTGATTGCATAAACAATTATTCATCATATTAGTTTTTTATCCAAACGTCCTGTATATTTTGTTATTTTTACATTTCTAACCCCCAATTGCACAATGTCAACCATCTTAGTTATTATGCTACTTTGTTTGAGTTTTACCCATCCCCCTGTTTATTATGGCATTCTAATTCCTAATTGTAATTTTTAATAATTTAACCCCTAACCAGAAATTGTTCTGGAAATTTCCCATCCATTTGATATAAATACACGAATGTACAGCCTAGATGATGACTTCGTCGAAAAGAAAATTTTCATCGCTGCAACTATCTTTTTATTCCCTAAGATCCAGATTTATTATCTCAGTTATTATTGCATATTTCCCTTTCTCTATTTTATAACACTAAGATATTTGGTTTAAAGTGGACTGAACGGTGTTAAGGTTAAAAAGACGAAAATCGCAGTCGAATAATTTTCTACATAAATCCTCTCCAAAGTGCTGGAGCATGGCCATTCAGCAGTCACTGATGCTTGAATGCAGTGGCTCAGTAGAGTGGGAGTTTTAAAGTTACATATGAGTAAATTTCATCCAGTGCCACTCAAAAAGAATAACAAAGGTTAAATATGTTCTAATTAATAGGATCCTGTTTAAGTCGTTAATATTTTTATTTTTGCAGCTTTAACCTTCATTGTTTGATGTCATGTCCGTTAAATTTTGCCTAATTTTCTTTCCTTTTTAAAAGATACGATACAATCTAACAGCTATAAATGATACATGCGTGTAAGAATTTAAGTATCTTCAGCGTACATTTAACATTTATTGTTTCTTCCAAAGTACCATCCAGTAAAATACTTTGGCAGAAGTTCAACAACAGCATCCCTGGAGTGCGAACGCTCCAATGACCTTGAACGCATGAAAGTCGTTGGCTAACGGCACCCTTCATTATCACAGCTGAAATATCAACTCTATTCACAGCCCAGATCACGTTTTTAAGCACTGTTTGGACAGTGTGTTAATAGCTCGTTAGAGTTATGGTAAATATTGGGGTTAGTGTTAGGATCAGGGTCGTAATTCGCGTTAGAGTTAGGTTTACGGTTAGGATAAGGGTTGCAATTAGGGTTACAATTATGGATAGATTTAGAGTTGATGACATTTATTTATATTTGTTTTCTTATCCACATTTTCCTGGTAAGTAGTCGTCCATCCTCTTACTGGAAACCATAGTAACTCAACGGAGGGCTTTCGGAGAAGACTGCACAGCAGGAAAAGAGAGATAAATGATTCACAGAAACAATTCATCTTTAGTCACCTCGGTGGATACATGTACACAAACTAGTCTAACTTGGCAACTGATACTCTTGATTATAGCTGCGATGTATTTTTAAGTCATGTTAGAGAAAGATAACCTGTTCAGTGTGTTTTCATGCATTTTCTTGTAAATATACGTCATTTTTTGTGCGAAAATTCCTCGGGTTTATGATTGGTGGTCGGCTGAATATCACTCATGCATTCGCAACACTTGGGACGCCATTGTTGAGCTTTTCCATAGTTTGAATATTGTTAACTATCTCACACTATCTCCATTATTTGAAATGGTTTTTTAGTCCTAATATTCATAAGGTATATAATAACTATAAAGCTTTATTCGAGACAACATACTAACATATGATGCAGGAAATTTCAGTGTATTTAGTCCCAGAACACCTTTTTCTTCATAAAGGCTTTACATGTAAAATAATAATATGAAGTATATCTTCATTTTGTTGACGAATTGCGCAGCGTTTACTTAGAAGCAGGTTATATCAGCGCACAAGTTCATGTATAGGTCACCTGATATAACTGGATGATTAAAACAATGATAAATCCAGATGAAATTCAACATTTCGGTAGCCCAGGGATTTACGTGAAGTAAAACATTTACAAAGTATGCTCCTGAATTAAATTTAGTTGTGATGAATACAATATGGTATGTACAACTGCATCGTGTACATCAAATGTTCGCTAAACAAATTAAAATGACCTGAGCACTACACTCCTTTGCACTTAAGTGTATCATATAATTCTTACAATTATACCATTCTTGTAATTACAAGAATTTCATGTAAATGCAAAAACTTACTGTTGTACGTAAAATATTGGGCTAAAAACATGGATTTTCAAAATTAAACAAAAGTTTAAAAAATAAATGAGTTGCACGATAAATTTTTGAAATCCAAAATGTGAGACAATTTGGACAGTTTAACAGTATAAGTATAAACTGATATGGTTGCTTTCTCTGGAGCCGGTAGTTCGACTGCAAAGCTTCCAGTATCCTTCTAGACGTCTTCAAATCGAACTTCAGCATGAAAAGGACTTATTGGAATTCTCCTTTAATTATATATTGTATCTCTTAACAAACCCTGTCATCATTGGTTTTCAAATTTACATCAATATTCATCATTTTTATTGGCTGGGATTTTGACCTCTTGTGCCATGTGGCTTATTTTTTATTGGTTGATAAATTTGATGCATAAAAATGTATCTATGTTAATCGCAAATCCATCTGAGTGGCAGGTTTCCAGAAATCCCGTGGCATATTTTATGTTTCCAGTGCCTGAAATTTCTACATTTTCCCAATCTAAATGGTGTCTACACGCACCGATTTGCGAGAAAACATGTTGATCCTTTTCACGGCTGGTTTACATTCCTGGACTGGGATACAACCTAGCAAACGTGTTTATCACAATTTATGCTATTTATTTCGTATATGGCAATGATCTTGTCTTTTTCTGTTTTGGGTCTTTTGTTTGCTGGTAGTAAGTTCCCAGTTCGGAAACTTTTTGATGTAACTGTATAGGAATAATCCACTTGAGCTGCAATTCTCATCTATATATATATATATATATATAAAGTACTTTAGCACTTGGAATGCCCTCAGTATTTACTGGCATCAGTCAAGAACTACATGACAGTGCCACATGTCAAGTGATCCACAACGGAAAATTTAAGAACTGAAGACATGAGTAAGGTAAGGAAGACTGCCTACTATCACCAGTGATATTCCTAATTTCGGTAGACTAGATTTCACAACAAATCCTACGTGGGAAACGAGAAGACAGGAATACGTTGGACTGATAAGAAGACTCTAGAATATTTGGACTTCGCGAACAACTTATATCTAATGTCAGTAAATTTAAAAACCTGAAGGGCAAAATCAAGAAGTTGTCATAAGAGGCAGGTAACGAAGACAGGTCTTCAGACGAACATAGATTAGGTAGAGGGGATAAAAATAAGCAACTAACAACAACACAGATGATGGTGTTAAGACCGACCAGAATTGGAAAGTCAAGGCACACTTTCATCATCCAGAAATCATTCTGGAAATCTTCTGCACTTAGTGTGAAGAATTTATTTCAGATTTTCAATAAAGGTGTTAAGTCACTTCCTCTTTATGTGTCAGAAACTTGAATTGACGTGAAAAGCAACGCCAGCAGGCTACTGCGGATATTTATCAACATCTACCTCCTCTGGCTCCATACTGAGGGTCGGAGAGCCAGCCTGAAAGATTTAGCATTAAAAAATTCTGCGAGCAAACCAACCAAGAACCTGCTTCTGAAGAAATATTCCGAAGAAAATGGATCCGATGCACACTGAATAGACACATGAGTAACATAACGCGCCTGGCCATGGCCTCAGTGGAACGTGAATAGGAAACAACGAGTTAGACGTGCGTCTGAGGGTGATGTGGAGATGAATGCCTACGAGCTATCATTCGGCCATCTAAAGAAGACTTTAGAGAATAGGATGAAATGGAGATGTGGTGCTGAAGCCAACTGGGAACCAAAGGGATATATATATAGGGATATCGAAATGAAGCTGATTTGTCTTAGAAGAAAATCTACTAACTCAAAGTGATACAATGACTAACCTGATTATCCAGAGAGGAAGGCTGTAAAAGTAACAGTTAAACCCTATAATTAGTATATAATCTGATATTATCGATAAATGGATGAATTACATGGTGAATTAAGACAGTTGACTGAATATTTAAGTATTTATGTTGAATTATAATAAAACATATACAGCGAGAGTAAACAATAGATACCAAAGCCAAATGACCTTGAACCAACCAGTCAGGTAGCTCAGCATTACAAATGGTCGCTGTTCACATAATTTGCGTTGCAGTTTTCACCCTGATTTGGTTTTCGACTTCTGTGTGGGAAATGGGTTGGTAGGGAGGACTAAAACATGCATGTGTGGATGGGAAATGACTCTGCGAAAGTATTTCCGAACTAATGATCGTTATGCATTCAGATGTAACCACTGTTAAATGAGTAGGACTTTAAGAGTTGATAAGTCGCACATTGTTGTGACTTTTCAGAGAATTTCTTCTCGAAATTGAAACCTTCCTTTAGTAAAATACTGCGTGTGTGCCACAAATGGCCACAGCTGCAGAAACGAAGAATACTAAAATGTCAACAAAGCAGTGGTTTAAGCGCAGTCAGGAAATTGCGTTACAAAAGATCACTGGAATTACTTTTGTACTTGGAGCAGTTGGTGTCATCACTCATATTGACGAAACATCACTGATTAAACGAAAAATAAATAGCGGTGGGAGAAGAGTAAATCGTGTTGGGGTTCGGGAACTGTACAACACAAATCTTCGAAAAGGGTTTGTTAAAAGCATCCCAAACAGAAGTGGCAATGGCTTAATACCAAAAATACAACAACTAGTCCTCGAGGGCGTAAAAAATTCACACAGATGAATGAAGAAGTTATTAGCAACTATCGTCACTAGGCTTTGTTCATCATAAAGTCAATCATTCTTCTGAATTAGTGGGACCTATACAAATTCCATTGAAGGATTCCGGGCCCATCTGGAAAGGCGCATTAGAATGGTAACTGGTTCCCGAAATGATATGATATATAGCCACTTACATAAAACTTTGTATCGGCACTGGTTTGATATTGTCTACAGCCACTTCAATATTTGCGTCATATTAGAGATACATAACCTATATAATTCATTTTTATTACATATGTATCTTATTAACACTGGTTTTTTATAAATTAAACGCCACTTGTCACCTGGAGGTGTCTGATTGATTGTTTCAAGGTCATTTCACTCTGGTGTCTATTCTATACTGTCGGCACATATACTTACATTGGTTCATCTATCTGGAATCTGAAATGTAAATGAAAAAAATAGTTAATGATGCGAATTCCACCGTTTTAACATTGAAATTGAGTAATGGTGATAATAGCCACATTCTGGACAACATTTTCCTGCAAAGTACAAACTTCTCAGACAACAATATATATTGCGCAATATGTGCTTTACGAACCGAATCATCATCAGGCAGGATAATAACTGACAGACCATTGTGTGACATAATGCTGTTCAGACAACTGTACTGATTGTTGAATTTAAAATTAATACAATTTTTACAATATCACAAAGTAGTCTCAGGCGATATTTACGTAATATACAACAAATGCAACTAAAATTCAATTTAATAAATGCATAACAAGCCAATTTGAGAGTGGATATTAAACTGATTACCAAAATGCAGATAATTATAACAAGCATAATTTTATAACTTACATCTTGTAGAACCATTCACTGAATTAAATATAAAAAGTAAACTAGTTTGATATTCAGTTTCATAAAAATGAATAAATGTATTATTCGAATAAAAATAAGTAAGAAATGACAACGAATGCTTGGGTTTCAGGTTGTAGTGGTTTTTGATATCGAAATGACCTATGTGTGTGTCTGTGTGTGTGTGTGTCAATTTTCATTGATGGATAGTTTTCAACGCGTTTCTAGTCTTCATCACCAGAGTTAGTTTTTAACAGGTGGAGAAATTCGTTGACTCACTAGTATTCTCATATATACACTTCTAGTGACTCAACTATCTTTTAGTTGATTCTGTTTGTTGAGTTTCGAACACTGATAGCAAGTGTCTTCTGGAAGCATGATGCGCTAAACTTTAGGAGAGAGCATAACTTGTTGGCGAGTATTCAGGTATCCACTGTATTTGACCATGTAAGCTAGGTCCACAGCTTACTATGGAATAATTTATAGTACCTTATTAATAATGATAACAAAAATAGCTTCATTCTCAACAGTGTTTGTACATAATTTTTAACGGAGTTTATTGCCCGATATTTTCTCTTCGCGCAGGATCATCAGATAAAATATTAACTGACAATATATCCTATGACATAGTGCTATCTGACCTGAAGTGAAAACCAATCCATTACGATAACTCTTCCTCGTCTCCTTAGATAAATGCGCGATATTTAGTTGAAAGAAAGTCGTGAAAGGTCAAGGAGTACATTTTAAGGACCAATGGCATAACTCAGCAACAGTTGTTTCATGTACCGGGATATACTGCCCCTCCAACGAATATGCCTTTTCTCAGTCTAATCAAAGATCAGCAAATTATCAGGATCTAAACACTTGAAATACTCCTCAGGATAAATAACACCATTAGTGGTCATGCTTCAATCAATTAGAACCAAGTGAACAGGAAAAATAAAATGCAATTTATTGATGGGGGTTTCCGGTAGCCCAGGTTTTAAGCAGGCCGCTGTGAACAAACAGAAGATAAATTCTAGTGTCACAACACTAACAGATTATTGTTCACATCTAGTTGGTAATTTTCAGCCTGGATTTAAGTGTAGACAGCATCTTTCGTTAATGTAATCTGGTAATCATTTCATCTGCTCAATACAATTTAAAAGGGAATCATCTGTATTGATTCACATAATGTACATATCAGTTTCGTGAGACTCAGTAAAAAAGAGATACAGCGTTCTAGAAGTTTCTGAACTTGTGGCACCAGGGGTGACAACTTCACAAGAAACAAAACAGACTGGAATTAAAGTTAACAGAAGAAAAGACTGCAGGACATTCAACTGTAAAAGCACAGTAGGGACTTATAAGTGATATTTCAAATCAAATTAGTGAACCATAAGACGAGTAAAAGTAACTCTCTTTACAATCATTTTAAGCAAATAACATCCCTATTAAGTCCCTTGGTCAATATGATTAAACAAATCTGTAAAGGTTGCATTTTAACAAATTATTTCTAACTCACGGGAAATAGCTTTCATTTCTACTTGTTTAGAAGAGATAATGTTTACTGGTTAGTAAATCTATTCCTCAATATAAATCACAAATGTAAAATTAGTTGGGAAATATCTCGTAACAGTATGAAGTCGTCTGTACAGATAAAGGCATATATATTCACTAATGCACAATGGAGGTTCATGCATGTTTTCCAGAAGCAGTCACAATCTTTGAGTCAGAGAATCTTTCACACATAGCTAGTGAGCAACATGTTATTATATTTACAGCACTATAAGATAATGTTGTCTCTGTCGGTTTGCCAGAAGATTTGATATGTACCACTAATACACTTCTTTTAACTGCTCATTGACATTTTGCCTTCAAAGAAAAAACTTGATAGATTCTTATGAAACCGATCGAAAACTTAGTCTAGACTGCAGATAGTATGTGAGCAAGTACAGACCTTTCTTTATTCTTAAACATCCGCTTAACCGGTTAGCAGATAGATGACGATTCATGGGGATGCAATCTATAATTGGGATTTCCTCTCTGGAGCTTAATACTCTCTTCCTAAGCAAGTCTATGAGAATCATTAAGAAATCTTATGACACTCATAGGGTGTGTTTGGCAAAACGTTATTTTAACCAGCATTGTATGTTTCACAAATACACTGTTATAAGCCACAATGTTAAGTTTGTAGTGTCGTTCAAATAGACTGGAATTGATCTTACTCTCATTTAAGCTACTTGTTTCAATCATAAAGTTAGGAAAATATGAAGGAACTGCAGGAGTAATCTTATTAGATTTGGCGGAAAGAAATGTTTCATTTGCAGAAAACCATTGAGTATGTAGCGAATAAATGAGCATTACATAATAAAAAACTCATGTGAGTGATTTTTAAAACCAGGCTATCGGTAGTGAATTCATTTTGCTGTAGATGAAAAAGTTACCTATCGTGAACGCTTAGGCGTGAAAACCACTGTTTGCAGGTAATGCATCTCCTCGATTTCGCTCTACTTTGTCCAGTGACATTTACATCATTTGTGTAACAATAATCATCAAGTATCACTGACTACTTAATTCTGAATCTTTTTTTTTTTTTTTTTTGATTTACAGCTTGATTTCCACACCGTATTTTCAGTACAAGTGTGGAACTTTCAGCATGGATATCGGTTGCCCAAATTCAGGCATACCATAGATATCGGGTGTGCGCCGGCAGGGGTTCGAACCCCGGACCATGTGCATGGTCGGCGAGAGTCCTAACCACTGTGCCACCGACGTGTATGTAAGAAGCTAAATACTGAAACTCGTGATGATTTCCTCCGCTCACAGTGCTCTGTAAATCTGTTTAAATAGCTAATGCTAGTGTTCCCATCGACAATAGTTATAAATTAACTTGAGTACTTGGGTGACATCCAGTGACAACTTGAATTTCCAACCTACCTCACAGCACTGTTTTACTCAATGCGATATAAGACAGGACCAAAAATTCAACACTATCGATTACAGATACTATCTCTAATGAGAAAATACCCGTTTTTAACAGTGTGGGAGATGTGAGTTGATAATGAAATGCAATTCAGATAGTAACATGTGGCTAAAATTTCCTTTATAATGTTAAAACGTATGTGGTCGCTTAAAACAAAATATGAACCACTTTCGTAACGAGTTCTACAGAAATGGACATGCACATTATAAGGGAAAGCAAAAGATAAAAGACAGTGAAACTTTAATTTCCTCTAAAAATATGTGGCAAGATTGGAGTGAATGGAAAGTCCGAATGAATAAATCCACACAGAATCCACACATACAGCAAACAGTCTATATTACCAGGCAGGAATAGAATATAATGAAGATAAAATAAGTTGATCGGGATGAAATAATCACGTTCGATTTGAGAGCTAGTGACAACATAACGTAAAAGAAAGAGAAAATATGAGGATATACTCACTTTGGTTTTTCTGTCACAACCCTGTTTAGTATACGTCATTGCAAAGAGAGAGAGAGAGAGACGATACCGGAGTAGTGAAAATATATAAATGCAGATTACTGAACGAATTCACAAAGAATATTCATTGAAACTTACTACGCCTCAAGGATATTTTCCGCTCATTATCTCACTACGTTGGTGATATTCATATCATACTTGCAGTTGCTCAGAATTAGAAATAAATATCAATTAAATCAGTGTGAAGCGTTCGGCGACTTGATTTACCAATAGTGAATGATTTTTCAGAACTACAACGGAAACACCTGTCTGCAGCAAAATATTTCTATTATCTTCTTACAAACATTAACTGGATTATATTGAAGAATCTTAGTGTATACCCACCAGATAAACAGACAGTCTTCAACTATGCAACATATATCTCATTTATTCTTATGCAATCATTGGAATTATTGAGAGATTTTAGTGATATACCTTAATAAGAAGTGGAAACTATTCTTAATCCACTTAACAATGAGAACGTATTCGAAATACTTGCTTCAAACTTTTGACTTTGAATACCCCTTTTATTTTAGGCAAAGCAGTAAGAAGACGTAATTTGTCTTGATCGTGAATTTTATCTGCTCAACACATTTCGAACAACCTGATTATATACGAAAATATTACCTCTCAACTGTAATTATTTTCATATATATATATGTATATATATTCCTGTGACAAGTCCGTGTGTGATCAGATTTTTCGAAATGAGTTGCACAAATACATTACACGATTTAAACAAACAAGGCACTCCGAAGACATCACATTTATCCCAATTCTAAAACTCTCCAACGTTACACAAGAAACCTTATTGATTCTATTAATTCGCGTATATTCGCGTCACAGAGGTCTTCTGCTCTTTCCGAACTATCATCAAGTGAAAGAGAATCGTTTAATGAATATGTCATCTTGGTGCAAAGCAAACGAGCTGAGAATGTCAAATCTAAATTGAACAGAAGCCTCAAATCCTTTGAAGTACAGAGGAACTTCTCCATCGACCCCAATTAATTTGTTTTCAATCACTCCCCCGTCAGCTTGTCTACCCTACAACTAGAAGCCCTATCTTTAGGGTTGGAATTTTGTGACGTAAATCTATAAAGTAACAGACTGCACACGTATGTCCAATTTGGAAATCTTATTAGTCAAACAAACGACATTACTGCTGTCTCTGAAACAGATTTCTTACATTTCAAGCCTACAATTTCTGACTGCTGCATACATTACTTCAGTTCAAAAACTAAAGTCCGGCACCTCCTGACAAAAGAACACAAACACCAGCTTAAAGACTTGAGAAACAACAAAGATCTGATCATTACACTTCTAGACAGAGGTTCGGGAGTGGTCCTTATGGACAAAGATGTGTATATCAATAAGTTGACAGCTCTAATCTCTAATAATAATAAATTTTCAAAACCAGACAAAGAGGAGAATAAGACAGAACAGATGGAACAGCAACTGACAGATGTTCTTAGGAGAATGAAGAACGACTGCCTTATAAATGAGGACCTATTTGAACGTCTGAGACCAACAGGATCAATTATACCTCGACTCTACGGTCCACCAAGGCTGCACAAAGTAGGTCTGCCTCTCCGACCAATTTTAGACATGGAAGGAGCACCTTACCATCCGACTGCCAAATGGTTGTCCGAAATCCTGAAGCCTGTGAGATGACAACTCGGTAAGTACTGTCTATGAGATACTTTTGAATTTATTGAGCTCATAAAAGACTTGAATGTAAATGGCAAACGAATGTTATCGCTGGACGTGGTATCCCTATTTATGAATGTGCCGCTCACAGACATAATTTGTTTCCTTTGCAAATATATGGATGACAAAAATCTGAGTATCGGCATACCAAGCTCATATCTGAAAGAGGTGTCATTAAGGTGCACACTCAACGTACATTTTACGTTCAACGACCTCATCTACAGACAGAGAGACGGGATTGCTATTGGCTCTCCTCTTGGCCCACTTTTGGCAGACTGCCTCATGGCCAGCTTGAGAAACGGCATCTTCAAATCAAAAATTTATTTTATTTATTTTGATTTTGATTTACAGCTTGATTCCACACCGTATTTTCAGTACAAGTATGGAATTTTCAGCATGGATATCGGTAGCCCAAATTCAGGCCGACCATAGATATCGGGTGTGCGCCGGCAGGGGATCGAACCTCGGACCATGTGCATGGTCGGCGAGAGTCCTAACCACTGTGCCACCGACGCAGATACGTCGATAACACTTTTATAGTTTGTTAGGATGATTCCGATTTAAATTGTATCTTACAGGAGTTTAATAACTGCCATCCTTCAATTAAATTCACAATGGAAGTTGAAAATGAATCAAAGATTCCATTCCTGGACGTCAAATTGACAAGAAGAGATGACGGAACTCTGAAAAGATCTATCCATAGAAAACCAACATGGAATGACGAAATGAAAAACTTCTACAATTGGATACCTATCAGCTATAAAAGAGCTCTCATTATCTCGCTAGCCCATCGCACCAGAAGAATTTGTGGCGATGATTGTTTAGAAGAAGAGCTCCTATATCTCTAAAGCCTCCTGGTTCAAAATGGTTTGACACCACGTTTCGTGGAGAAGAAAATGAAACCAAGGCCGAAAAGAGAAGAATACACTTCAGTGTCAAAGAAAACACTTTATTTGAATCTGGAATTCAGGGGAGACCTAGCAGCAGATATCCTTAAAAGGAGAATCTCCAATTCCCTGAAGAACACTTTTCCAGCAGCAACTGTAAGAGTGATATTCTCTAGCCGCTTTTTACTTCGGAGCAACGGGAAGGACAGACTTCCGCATATGGCCACTTCGATGTGCATATGTCAGTTCACCTGCTCTTGCGGAGCTAGGTACATAGGTCGTTCTTTGTGGGTCTTATCAAAACGTGTCAGAGAACATCATCCAGCATGGCTGCAAAGAGGAGGCACTGGTTCAATCAGAAGCGCAATAACTGAACACCTCGTCAATACCTGTCACAGAATCTCAACTGACTCATCCATCATTCAGAGTCATTTACAAAGTAAACAAAAATCTACCGAAGGAAGTGTGTTTCTGACTTCTTTGTACTGCGGAAGCTCTCGCCATATGCATCAAAAAGCTGGGGCTATATATTCAAACGAAAATAGTTCAGCCTTTACAACTACCATGAACCTACTTCGGTATGTTCCCTTATCCCTCAGCTTTTCGTTTTGTTCTCTGTGTGTGTAATTTTCTTTCTTTGTCTTCATTCAATTCATCCCATTTTTTCCAGTTATAAAATCAGTTATTTTAAGTTTATTTCCATGATCCTCCTGATCACACTTGTAATCCGTTTAGAATAACCATTTTACAATTATATTCTAATCCTGTGTAATTTTTTTTCTACGCCTCTTGTAATCTATATTCACACCTCCTAACTTACATTTCAAGTTGAAAATTTTGATTTCAATATGTTTCCATGCTCACTTTGTTCACACCTGTAATTCATTCTATCACTGCGTCTCTAAACCTCTTGTAATTCATATCAAGTTGAAAATAATTATCACGTTTTATTCGCCTTTAAAATTATTTCTCCAGTTATCAAATATTAATTTTGCATACGTTGTAACTGTTTTCTAATCCTATTTAATCTTGTTCCTAAGCCCCTTGTAATCTATATTCGTACCTTCAAACTTTCATTTCAATTTGAAAATTATCATCACCTTCGTCACTATGTGTAATTAAACAAATAATAATTGTATCCATGTAAACTAATCTATGTAAATGCGATTGTAAAGCTTTTGAAAAATGAAATCGCCGAAAAGATATCTTCGTTAAACAAATTACGCCTTCTTATTGCTGTGTCCAATTCATTTATTTTCCTTCACGTTCCCCAGTGGAACATAGGGCTTCAAGCGAGAGGCTTGAAGTTTCTGAGGCAGTGGTGATTATTTTTACGGGATGGAGTTGCTAGCCTCATGCCCAACCTTTCCTCTTCACCAGCATTATTTCTGGCTTCGCGAGGTAAAGGAGTGCGTCCGCCAAGGATAGAACCCCGGACCATGTGCATAGTCGGCGAGCACTCTACCGCTGTGCCACCGACGCACTCAGCATAAACAGCAAAATTTGAATTTTGAACACCAGTCTGTTCTTCCAAATGGGACAGGAACTGGGTAAGTCATGAGAAGCATTTATATCAGATTACTACAAACATTTATAAACAGTTGCCTTCTCTAGCTATATACTTAATATCCGATGGCTGGCTGGAAAGAATTAGCAATAACATGCTTACAGAAGGAAACAGACTAAGACATATTGCCCAACATAAATGTACAATAAATTGAAGATGGATCTGACTTTCACCCAAGAAGGACATGGAATAGACAATGTGATGACATGATAAGAGCCTATGGGAAATCGTGGGGCCAGCTAGAAAATATTACAGGGAAAAGAGAGTGAAGTGAAGATGCTCTGTCAAGGTCCCATGTTCCACTCCCAACTCAAGGCGATAAGAAAATATTAGTAATAGTGATAATAATGGATATCAAAGAGATGTGTCGACTAAATCCACAAGATTATCCCTCACGACTTACTCTGGTTTCATCTGTGGGTGCCTAAAATTATGTAGATGAAATACTCAGTAATTCGTAGTTAAGCAAAATAAGACAAAAAAGCATCAATGCTTACATGAGGTGGATGATTTAAATGAAAGATGCTTCGTTTAATAGTACTAGATTATGTTTTGCATTCTTCATTGTATAAATATTATCAAACCTATTTTTGATAAAATCGGCATAAGCGAAATTAGCATAAATTCTTGCTAGTTTCGAAATTGATTCATCAGGTATTCTCTTAATAGATGCAGATGGTTTATTCTCCCTAAACGTTTTTCCACGCGTCTTAACCGCTATACCACCGATGCAATTCATAAAGGGAAATAATTGTTTAAAAAAACGTTTTTAATTAGTATTGTTCAATTACCATGCCCATCAAAGAGGTGTGTAAGCTATTTCCACACGATTCTCGCCAGTGGCTTACTCTAGTATTATCTGTGGGAGCCTATAATGATGGAGATGAAATACTTCATTATACGTAGTCAATAAACACAAGAATGAAATGCATCCCTGTCTACGTTAGATGATGAGTTGTTTCAAAGACATAAGTCTCGTATTCTGTGATAGATGGTGATTTGCACCCTTCATTGTATGAATATTATTGTATTTAGCCTTTAGAATTGAGTTTTAACAAAAAGTTTATAAATTCCTGATTATATATTGACCCGTCAGTATCTCTCTAGATGGATGACAATGGTTCATTTCCAGTTTTATTCGCCAAATTTTGAATTGAAAACGCTCATTTCTGAATATTTTGTGAAGCTCAGAAACCGAATTAGGAACGTCATTAGGAGATGCATCCACTTTCCCGACACAATAACCTAATCAATGATCACACGATTATGTTCAACATACTGAGGATGTTAAGACACTAACCCCCATTTAACAACCACGAACTTATCTCATATTCGCGAAACATTCAATCTCCTCAATAAACAAATCGTGTTAAAACAGCATCAAATAATGCAAAATGAAGTCACACTCACTTTGGCTGCTCTGGATGTTTTCTGTGGAAGACATTGGACATATGAATTGAAGGTAGTGATGAATGAAAAATAATGACAATGATCATGGCAACTGAGAAGCACTTGATTCCATATTAGTTTGTTTATTAGATATATCACACAGTGAAACAGTATTATTTACTGAATGACATGGTTTCGAACAAAATTTATTGTTCATAATCATATCAATTGTGATCACACGACTTTGACACTTGAGTTTTATAGCTTTCTTTGTTTTCTCCTATTTGTCGTAGGGGTAGTAGAATTTTCCAGATATCTGGGACAGGTGACGAATCATTCCTATTACATGTATTTGCAGTTGATTCGATAAACAAAGCTTCTGTTATCAATCTCTCCCTCCACTCTGCTGCTACATTAGATTTTAAAACTGTCATCCTATCCCATCATACTGCATGGTTGTGTGCAACTGCATGTAGTGCTATAGCTGAACTATTCTCTAGATTTCTTATCTTATTCGGGTCAACCAATCTAGAATTTGCCAAGTTTTTATGTTCAGCTAGTCTGACTGCCCCTATTCTACTACTTTGACCTATGTATTTGACCTGACAATCATTCCAGCAGGGTATTAGATAAACTAAATTGTTTTGTTTTTAAGGCTCTACAAGATCCTTTAACCGACAAAGCTTGTTTCTGATTGAGTTTGTGGGTTTGAATGCCGTTTTGATTCCTGCCTTGTTGAGAATTCTGCGTAAGGCTTCCGAGGTTCCTTCCTTTTATGGAATTACTACTGATGATTTAGATTCTTTATTGTTGGTGTCGTCATTAATATTATTATTATTATCACTATTACCATTATCATTATTATTGTTATTATCACTATCGCTACTATGATTATTTATTTTACTTTTACATTTCCTTACATATTTCCTGACTAATTTATCCGGGTAATTATTAAGTTTCAAGGCTTCTTTTATGTGTATCATTTCCTGTTTTAGATTTTCTTTGGTACTACTTAATTTTTGTGCTCTGTCATTTAAACATTTCACTAATCCTATTTTTACTGACATAGGATGGGATGATCGGAAGTCCAAATATCTATTTGAGTGTGTGGGTTTCCTGTAAACACTAGTGTTTACCTTTCCATCTTCTTTCCTCTTTACGTTGCAATCTAACATTTGGAGCTCCCCTTCCTGATTTTCCAATTCATAAGTGAATTGAATTGCTTCAACCTTCGAGTTGATGTGTTCGAAAAACCTATCTATATCTTGTGTTCTAAGTACAGTGAATGTGTCATCTACGTACCTCCACCATAATATGGAATTACTTACTACCACAGTGCCCAAGTTTTACACATATATTAATGAGAAGCACTTGGTTCGACGAAATAATGAATATTTATTTAGTAAAGGATTTAGCGTATTATAATGGTACAGATTCTTGTGATAATTTTGTCATTTGCCCTGATATCGCTTTTGTGAGGTGTCTGGGAGGAATGTCACAAGTCCACCTGTACATTTGGTGGTCATTCATTCTGCTTCCGATTTCGTATCTCAATGTTAAAATATTTGATTAAATACAGAAATGAAGGCCATTTTTCTGCTGGAGTTGTTCGCGAATAGAATATGAGAAACAGTCATTCTCAACATTAGAGTATAAAAATACAGAGACCATAGATCTTGGTGACTATAGTATGATTCATAGAATTCACTTCAATTAACCATACACTATGCATATCAGCGTGATGTGTAAGCTATCTCTACAAGGTTGTCTTTGTTCACTTACTCTGGTTTCTTCTGTGGCTTCCTAAAATTGTGTCAATGAAAAACTGCATGAATTGTATTTGATAAACACAAGATATATAAAAGATTATCATTTCCTGCAACAGAAAGTTACTTATTTTACTAGTTCATCACCAGCTTCGTGGCCTGGTCTAAGCCCAGAAATTGAGAATATAGAGGGTATTGTTCTAGCAACTGCAACTTTGAACATCAATCCAATTGCTACAGATCTATCAGCTCAAGCCACTTTTGTGATTTCAGTCTCGAAACTTCGAATATTTCAAGTAACAAAAAGTAAGCTGTGCATCTATCATAAGGATCAGTCTAGAGATATACATCAAAATACAGCAGGAAAGAGGAAGTTCAGAGAAATTCAAGTGAAATGTATTTTCAGTGACTGCTGTAACCGCTTTCAATGGAGAGTATGTACATATGGTATTCCTCTCAAATAGTATTTCAAAATAAGCTTCCATTAATTCGGGAGCAATCAAGAAAAATGTCAGTTTAAGGTGGCAGTCGGGAACCTTAATGACATATTTCTGCATATTTCGTCAGTAGAACAAATATCGTGACTGATCATTACGAAGCAGACGGTCTACGCAAATCTATGTTGTGTACACGAAGATTAACATAAGTTTCCAAGCTATAATGTCTGCTATCCAATTCACATAACATTCCACAATGAATATCAAAGAAATGTGTTGATCAACTTACTCTGTTGTCATCTGTGGGTGCCTAAAGTTGTGTAGATGAAATATTTCATTGTACGTATTAGAAAAAGATCATAGGGATGAAACGTATCACTGCCTATACTAGATGAGCTATTTCTGTGATAGATGGTGGTTTGCACTCTTCATTCTATAAGTATATAAGTGAATATCAGTTTTGCCAAAAACTGCAGAAATTCTTACTTGGATATTTATCTATTAGTACCTCTCTTATTTTTCTTACCCTTTCTGAAAAATCTTCCCTCTTGAGCTGTTCGTCAGCATAAACTTCTTCTCTTTCTACATGCACCTTGATATAAACTTATGAAATTATTTTTGTTACGAGTTTGACCACAGATTGACACCAGTTAGAGAACTATTGAAAACCAGGGAGTGCTGGACAGCTGTTTCATCCTACTGGGGTTCGAACCCAGGACCTTCCGGTTACAAGGCAAGCTCGTATACCATTCAGCCACTCTGACCCGATTCAATGACGTACTGCCGATGATTCTCAAACTGGGATAAGACAGCTGTCCAGTACTCCCTGGTTTTCAATGGTTCTCTAACTGATATTGTAACGACAGTAGACAAGGGCCAGGCAACAGATCGTTTATTGAGAAAATCAAGAGATATTTATAGATGTTTATGTACATTATCATTCGTTATTTTAGCAGTGAAGCAACGTCCTCTGATTGGTTTCCCTTGTTGAAGGTTATTGTGTACCGCTTTTGACCGTTGCTTACAAAGTTATCTATATATCTGCAAATCGTATTTACACACGCTAAGTCTGCTGTGATGGGTTGTTGAGTTCCTCAAGGTTAGGCTTTTTTCTTATTTTTTCTCACGACCACGATTCGGGACGTAAACATAGACGTCAATTGTTGTTGACGATTTTGGCTTGCAGACAGCTCTCACCACAGTATCAATCTGTGGTCAAACTCGTAAAAACGAATCTAATCCTTACAAACCAACTCTTAAAATTATTTGTCTCATTACGTAATTCAACTTCTCATTTACATATGTATTCATATCAGCACTACTTCTCATAATGATTCAACCACTTCTCATTATTTATTTTTACTAGAGACAAACAGGCTTATAAATGAGACTAAACATCTTCAGAAAATGAATTCGCCGAAAAGAAACATTTCGCTGAACTACATGATGCCTTCATATAAATGCTCGGAAGGGAATTATTCATGAGTTAATCTCTTGGATCAATTCATTTAGTGATTTAAAGAATACTGTTGGCCTTCAGAAACAATGTGGAATCTCCATGGGGTATTTCCGCATATTTCGTAATCAAAAACAGCCTCTTTATTGATCTTTGCGAAAACCCACAGTCAATGCAAATCTATGCTGGTTAAGTGGCTGTAATAATCTTAGGGACCAGGGTATGATGGATGGAAGTCATTTGAAATAACCATACACAATGCAAATCAAAGAAATGTTTCCATGAACACGACAAGTCTATCATTCGTTACTTACTCTTGTTTAATCTGTGGGTGCCTAAAATTATGTAGGTGAAAGACTCAGGAATTCATAGTTAAGGAATATAAGATAGTAATGCATCATTCCTAACAGTTGATGAACTTTCCAATCACAAGAATTTTGCTTCCCACGATACATTGTGTTTTGCACTCTACATTCTATGAGTATGAAAATACGTTGTTAATAGGTTGAAAATTGGCCATACTGAAAAGTGAATAAAGTCTCGCTTCGACATTCATCCATCACTATGTCCCTGAATAAATACAGACAGTTTAGCTTTCCGAATTTCTTCTCCAGTTCAATTCGTCAAATGTGAATTGGGGGGCACTGACTACTGAATATTTTGTGGTGGTCATAGGGTGGAATATGGAAGTTGTTAGAATGTGCATCGATGTTCTCCATCCAATAACACACTCATTCAAATCATGAGACGCTTCAACATACTGAAGTTGTTCAGATACGAGCCATCTTTGAACTGTGATGAACTAATCTCATTTACAGTAATCATTCATACTCGTTGCTAAACAAATTTTATTGAGAACATCAAATAATGGGAATTAAAATTTCACTCACGTTGGTTCCTGCGTCTGCATCCTGTTGAAGATATTGGACATATAAATTGAAGGTAATAATGAGTGGAAATTGCCCCTAAAAAGCAGTCATATCCACAGTGGATATCATAAAATATGTAAAATGACTCTACAAGGTTGTCCTCGATGGCTTACTCAGGTTTCATCTGTGGGTGACTAAAGTTGTGTAGATGAACTACTGAGTCATTCGTGATCAACTAATATAAGATATAAATCCATCATTTCACACAGTAGAAACAAATTAATAATTTTTATCGATCCTGTACATTATGTTATCTTTCATTCCACTTCCTCTCCTTGTTCGACATTCCACTAGATTTTAGCCAGTCCTGTTTGTGCAAAAATGGGACATCTAGGGCGATGGGATAGAAAATTTTACCCGGAATATCAATCCTATCTCAATGGAAACTTCAAGGCACAACAACGATATTACAGACTAGCTAATTCTTCTATACAAACGGAGAGACGAATTGACGCGTTCCGTTGAAATCCTTCAAAAAGACTGTGTCTTGGTATGTTTAATTGCGACGATGACAAAAATAAGCTGAATTGACCGATGTGTGATATTGTTCCCCAGGCCGTCACTCCAGTAGAACACGAATGGGAAAACAACAAGTTTGAAGTACACGGCTGACATGATGGACAACCTATGAGGAGGACATGAAAGCGTATATGCAATGGTGGAGCCAGCTAGAGAGGAATGCAGACAACAGTAAAAAGTGGAGGTATCCTGTTGAATCCCAATGTTTCACTCGTTCCGCTCCGGTATACTAACACCAAATGTCTAAATTTTTGGTCGCATTATCGCTGTCGTCTACTAAATCATTTCGTAAATTATGACCATTTTACTGCAGAAATTAGCAATAGGTTATTACACAAATATTAATCAGTAACCTATGGATCATCAAGTAGAGTACCACAAAACACTCACATTGGTGTTGGTGTCATGACCCTAATAAAAAAATCAGTAAAGAGATAGTGTAAAGGAAAACCGAAGTAGTGAAAATATAGACTGATGGAAGTTATCCAAAGAAATCGTACGGAGTATGCTACGAAATTTGTTTAACGCACCATAATTTCGCCCACAGAGTCCTAATCCAACGCTTTCATTGGTTGTACAAATTTTAATGAGGAATCTACGTGGAATCGATTAATGTTAAATTTACAGAAATCACCCAATATAAGTTCCTAAGAAATTAGTCGTAAACAATATTCAACAAGAATAAAAGCTGTTAAATCAGCTTTCGAGTTTCCCTGTTATCCTATCTTCTTGAGACATCGACGATCGTAAATTAGTACAAGATTTCATTATCTTTCTTGAACTTGTAAAAGTCGGAAAAGAAACTTAATTAGATCTCTTGCCACTCGCGTCCGACACAACTGCAGCTCTGATACCATGGAAGAAGAACTAAACTTCCTGAAAGAAATCTTCATACAAAACGGTTACCCATCAAGATTCGTAGACAAAAACATCAAACAAAAAATCCAAAAGCAAGAGATAGCATCTGTGCCAAAAAAGATACTTTATATGAACCTCGACTTCAAAGGAGACCTACTCAGTGACGTCCTTAGGAAGACAATCTCCATCTCTTTAAGAACTTTCTTTGCGGCAACATTGAGAGTAGTGTTCTCTAGTCGCCCGCTGATCTTCAGAAGCCCAAAAGACAAGATCCCGCACCTGATCAATTCTATGTGTATATATCAGTTCACCTTTTGCTGTGGAGCCAGGTACATCGGTCGTTCAACGCGCATCCTGTCGAAAAGGGTCAAAGAACACTATCCAGCGTGGCTGCAGAAAGGAAGTAATGGCTGCATAAGGAGTGCAATAATCGAACACCTCGTCAACACTGGTCATTCCATCTCAACAAACCCCTCCTTCAAAGTAATCTACAAAGTGAAGAACAACCTTCTAAAGACAGTACGATTCCGTCTTCTTTGCATCGCAGAAGCCCTAGTCATTTAGCCAGAGGAACCAAAACTGTGCATACAAAAGAAAATTATTCAACCACTTCTACTCCCATGGTAACAACTGTGTTGATTTGACTTAACTTTTCTTTGTTTGTTTGTTTGATTTGACTTAACTTCTGCTAGTAGGCTTATTTTTCTACTTAAGACCCGTGTGTAATTCCGTATATATTTTGTTTTCACTAGGTTGAGTAACTTCCAGAAATCGAATTAATCCACTTTCCCTCTGCTTTGCACAGTCAGGTAAGTGTGAAAGGAACACATGATTCAGAAACAAATTCCTGTCGCGAGAAGACTACTGAACTGGCTAGACTTATTATTATAACCATTCATCTTTCTCATAGCTTAGATTATTAATTACTTATAAACTAATAGATCACCACTGCTTTTGAATAATTTCAATGTTATCTTTTGAAACAGGCAGCAGTTGAGAAGGAAATAAATCCAATGAAAATAAATGTATTTCATCATTCATTTTTTCTCTCTGACTGAGCTTTACCAGTTTCATTTTCACTTGCTTTATCCGTTTTTCGCTTCTCATATTTGTGGTAACAAATCATAACACATTAATTTGTCCCTCCTCGGATTTTACTTCACAACGTGAATAAATCTGAATATCAAAGTAAAATGGATGAAATCCTCAAAATATCAATCCAAATTTCTAGTAGATAAAGCGTTAGATGTGTTGCATGTGGAATAACGGCTTGATAATCAACTTCGGAATTTATTGATGTATGTTTCTATAAATGAAAACATTTATGTAGAAGTTAAAGAAATTGGATCACAACCCCACCCACCCCTATTTGTATGTCCTTCCGAACTTTCACAAGCCTAGAAACCCACTAACAGCCATCTCAGATATATCAAATTGTCCATAGCATTTCACTAGGCAAAGTTTCTGTCAGATAGTAACAAAACTGCTGAAATGGGAACGTTATCCACTCTATATATGCTTGCTAAATATCGATAACTTAAATGTTAAATCGTCCCCCATAGTCGCTGAAATATCTAGGAAACCCGAATTGTTTCTTTATTCCTTTACGTTACCAATGGAACATACGGATTCAAGCTAGAGCCTTGAAGTTTCTTTAGGGGTGGTGTTTATTTTTACGGGATGGAGTTGCCAGCTTCATGCCCAACCTTCCCTCTTTACCAGTCTTATTACTG